CACACACACACACACACACACACACACACACACACACACACACACACACACACACACACACACACACACACACACACACACACACACACACACACACACACAATAAAGGTTCTTATCATACGTTTCAATTGCGATAATACAATCAACTTGTCATGATTCGAAGAATTTTGGAGTATTCTTTAATATTTATAATTTCTTAATCATTTTTTGTTGGTCTTATAAATAAAATATTTGCAATTATAGTGAATGTTACCATAGTTGGACCTTCCTTTTCGTGTGCAGCTGTTACAAAGTTAAAAAGAAAGGTAAAAGTTAAAAAACTGTTAAAAAGTTTATTAAGCGGTATCCATGACCTGCATTTATTGGTATCACTTAAAGCACCATCACGCATGCGCGCACCTCGGGCGTGTAAAATGGCGGACCTTCAATTGGATACATCGCCAGGAGGCCTATCAGTAGCAGGATTCTCTAAACATCTTAGCGACGATTATCGTTGTCGTTAGCGAGCGAGAGCCCATGAGAATTGCGTTTTTCACCAGAATTGTCCTTGCCATTGGCTGTCGCTGGTTAACGATACTGAAAACTATCGATAACAAGTTACTGAATCCCACTACAGCAATCCAGATATATATATCAGTGGTTTAATTGCTCTCAGAGCGATTAATGACGTCTTTGCATCGTCTCTGCCAATAAAAGGCTTGAATTCATAGTAAAATATAGTGATTAATTGGATTAACCCGTTCATTCGAAAACGCTATAAAAAAGAAGGCCTATAACAGAAAGAGACAAAAGGTCACACAATGCCCTCTTTGTCATCCCGCATTTTGAGTAGCACGACGCTTTCCATATGTATAGCATGGTGTAAGTAACAAGGTGTGCTATCTTCTCGGACGAATTTTCGTCACATTCTGCGCGGCACTAAGTTTCCGCCATCTTGCAAAATCACCATAGCAACCGATAACAACGCGACGATAACTTGAATGAAATAGTGTCATGAATCATGATACACAGGTTATGCACAGTTTTGCAGCAGTTTCGTGAGTTTTGTGAATGCAATACAAAAAAAAATTCAAAAATAAAAAATAATTTTATTTTTATTATATCTTCTATATTGTTTATTATCTGTTATGTATTCTCTATCGTTTATTATATGTTTATTGTTTCTTATATGTGTTTATGTATCTTATATTTGTTTATTTATATTTATGTGTTTGTATTTATTATTTTCTAAAAATATATTCACCATAATTATAATTACACACGAAAGATCTTTCATTAAAACCCTTTCTTGCCCGAATCTTCGTTTTAATATCCATTTAAATTATACAAGATGGCGGAATCTTGTCACGCTCTCTTATTGGTCAGTAGAAATGCCTGCGCAGTAGCACACCTTGTTACTTACACCATGGTCTAGATATACTATGTCTATGCTCACACCATACTTCCGTTGCGGCTTTG